CCCCAAAACCCCAAAACCCCAAAACCCCAAAGAATATGTGACTTATTGAAGTAAATACCCATTTACATTAGTAAGAGGGTGATCTATAATGGCTGCTAAGGTAAGGATTGTACTTATGGTCTTCTATTGGTACAGCAATAATGTTTCTAAACTGTACAGGGCTTCTTAGTACACTGTAATTTGGTTTTTCTGAGTCTAGGATACTATGGTTTGGGCCTACTTTTGTCCTCGGGACTGGAATTTTTAATGTTACCTTTTTCTATAAGTTACTTGATAATTTCTAATACTTTTTCATATGATTTCACGGTACTGAGATAATCATTGTAGTAACCCTTCTGAAGCCCCATTCCTTTAGTTGAATTCACAGGAGAAATTAGACTTGAAGAGCTTATCTTCAAGGTATTCAAAGCAGTAGTATTCATTCTATAATCATGAGTTCTTCCTGCTGAAAGACCATCAGATTGATCTTTCCTAATCTCTGGGAAAAGAGAGGTTTGGTTGTCCAAATAATTAACCCTGTGTTCTGAAGAAGTACGCATAAGGGAGCCATGTTTCCAGTCTTTAAGAATATCGCCATTCTTGGAAATCTGTACAATGCCATAATCTGTGTTCTTGATGCCTCTACCTCTGCCATATCTTGAAGGAAAGAGGTCGTTTTTCTTGGTAGAATTGGCCATAATGAAAAGTCTCCCTTATTTCAGGAATAAAGCGGCTTACTAATTCTAGTACTTAAAATCACGAATCAGGCAAGCTCAGATTAGAAAGATCAGGAAATTAGTTTAAGCACCAATAAGGCAAGTTCTTGGTACTCAGATTCTAGCTTTATGATGTTCTTAGGTCGTAGAGGGAATTTTTTGTAGTGACGAATAGAGGAAGGATTCTTGTATCGAGCGTAGCTATAGTTCTGAACAACCTATGTTGGATATCCAGGTGAACCTATCCCTTGGTTAAAACACTGCATTTTATTTCAGCAATATAATATTTGAGAGGGGTTTTGGGGTTTTGGGGTTTTGGGG